AATCGCTTCCCGGCTACAGCTGCCGCTGCAACGGCATCTGCAGCTGTAGCTGGCGGCTGTATTGCGATTCTCGGGCGCAGGACTGAATTGATAAGCTTAAATTTATTTTAAAGAGTTGCTTTTTTGAAGGTAGCAGCAAAAAGCTGAATGTTCGAATGAATGAATAAATAATGCATTCAAAACACAAACGGGCACAAGTGAATAACTCAAATTCTTTTTGCTTTTCTTGCAGCCCCAACTGCTACGGCAGCGTGACCGTAGCAACCGCAACGCGCTGCATTATTGTGCCGCGCAGGATTTGGAGCAGACGCGCGACCTCGTGGCGGCCGCAAGCATTGCGATTGCAGCTCCAGAGCTGCTGGAGTCTGCCGACGAGGATGGCTTCACGCCGCTTCACTTGGCTGTTATTCAGGGCAATTTGGCGATGGTCAATTTGCTGCTAGCGAACAAAGCCGATGTGAACGCGGTGGACAATGAAGGCCACTCGGTGGTGCACTGGGCCACCGGTAAGCATACACTTCCCACCAGCCCCAATTTTCCACGGCCCTGCCACCACAACTATGTATTTGCCTTCAGTGCTTTGAATAACAAGCTGACTTTGCTTTTGCAGTATGTGGCGAAATTGAGGCATTGCGGGCAGTTCTGGCAGCCGGCGCAAGTGTGGCCAAGCCCGATGTTAACGGCGGCACGCCCCTGCACTATGCGGCCCAAATGTGCGGCGCCAGCTACGACAACAAGCTGCAGTCCAATTCCAGCAAGTTGGCACTTGAGATTCTTGGCATACTTCTGGCCCATCCGCAGAGCAGCGTCGATGTTCAGGACAAGGATGGACGCCAGCCGCTGCTGTGGGCCGCCTCGGCGGGATCGGCCAAAGCGGTTATGGCCCTGGTAAAGGCGGGCGCACGTGTAGAGAGTGCCGATAAGTGGGTTGAGCCACCAATTGCTTTGATCTTCTGTTGGGACATTGTAACATTCTGTGTTTTCCTTATAGGGATGGGCTCACCGCGCTCCACTGCGCCGGCTCGCGTGGCCACACCGAGTGCATCGACACGCTGATCAGCCTGTGTGGCGCGCCTACAGATCTCATAGACACCAACGGCTGCACGGCGTTGCATTATGCCGTGACGCTTGGCCATGCGGATGCCACGGCACGTCTGCTGGACTTGGAAGCAGATCCCAATCGGCAGGACCGCAAGGGGCGCACGCCAGCACACTGCGGCTGCTCTAAGGGCCAGTTCGAAACGCTGAAGCTGCTGAAGGAGCGCGGCGCCAATCTCTGGCTGCGCAATGCCAAAGGTGATCTGCCAATGCACGAGGCGGCCGCCTCCGGCCGACGTGAGCTACTCGAATGGCTCCTCTCCCAACGACCCAAGCAGGTGAACACCACCAGCAACGACGGGCGCAGCCTGCTGCACATTGCCGCTGCGAACGACTACACGGACATGTGCAAGCTGCTTCTGGACCACGGAGGCGATGTGAATGCGCTCTATCGCAACTCGCGGGGCATTGTGCTGACCCCGCTGGACTGTGCACTGCAGCGGGGCCATCGCTCCACGGCCAAGTTTCTGCAGTCGCAAGGCGGCCAGCCATCCAACAAGCTGAGGCTGGCAGCTCGACGCGGCAATCCCTTTCACGAGAGCAACGCAGCGGATCTGGTGCGACCACTGAAGTATATGGAAAAGGAGGAGCTGCACGATCTACGCAGCTCCAAGAAATACGTAGTCTATCTCAAGCGCAGCGATTCCGATGGTGGCCTTGCTGTTGGTGGTGGGCAGGAGCTGGAGCAGGAGGAAGATGAGTGCAGCTGCACGGAGCAGTCATATCGAAAGGAGCAGCGTCTGGTGCATACATGCCAACGGCATAAGCGCCGCCAGCTTAGACGGCGCACCAACAGCTGCGGCGAGAGCCAACACAAGAAGTGTAGCGACATTTGCCGCTCCAAGAGCAACATTGAAATCAGTCGGCGCAAGTCCAGGGAACGCTATGCCAGCACCAGTGATGGAGAGAACGATGAGGATGATGAGGACTCCTGCGAGAATTGCTGCTATCACAAGCGCCAGAAACAGCGTGTCGTGCAGCGCAAGCGTTCTACACCCTCGCACAGGCCCAAGGAGCTGCCTGGCAGCGAGGAGGTCGGCGGCGACGAGCAGGGAAACAGCACGCCGAAGAAGGCTGAACACAAAGTGTCCACATCGCAGGACAAGCCTGACAGTCCACAGTCCCTTCAAGTTGCAGGCAAGGATCAAACAGAGCCAGCCACGCCAACAGCTACCAAGGAGGGCACCTTTATTAAATCGCCGCCGCAGAGCGCCAAAGGCGACAAGGTAGCGGCTGTGGAGCCGGACAATTTGAAGGTGGCGGAAGGCCATGGCTTGGAGCTGACGGATGAAGAGCAGGAAACAGCCAAGTCGGTGACTACCCAAGTGGATGTGCATCACGATGCAGACTTGCAATCCTCAAAGTCCTTCGAGGAGGTGACAGGAGGCGAAACGGCGACTGTAACTGCGTCTACGCCTGCCGAGGCCGAGAGAGCTGCCAAGCACGAGCTTAGCGAGGAGGATACGAAATTGGTCAGCACTGAGGTCGAACAGGTGATCACAATAGCTGCCACGGCATTGAGCAGCGAGTCAAAGAGCTCTACTGAAGAAGCATCTGACAAGGATAAATCTGTAGAATCTGTAGAGCAAATGCTGCCATTGAATGGGGCCAAGGATAATCCCAGTGGTGATCCCGTAGCGCCTGCCGAAACACCCAATGCCAGCACGCCCTTAACGCATCCATCTGCTGACGCGCCAGTTGCTAAGCCACCGACAGCCGAGCAACCAAAGTTAGAGACGCCGCAACCCTTAGAAACCGCAGCAGCAGAGGCTGGCAAAAAATTGGAGCATATAGCGGTAGAGCCGGAATGTGTGAAAAAGGTGTTGCCTCCATCAACTCCCCCCAAACCGCAAGCTGAGCCCAATAATCCACAGGAAAAGCCGCCAGCCGCACAGACCCCACGTCCGCAGTCCCAACAGCAACAGCAACAACAACAGCAACAGCAGCAGCAGGAACAGCACGAGGAACAGCCACCACAACGGGAACAGGAGTCCAGACGCTCCTTTACGCTGCTGCCCTCCGACTCGGCTGATGATGAGCCTGCGGCTGCTGTTGTGCCAGGCTCCGATGAACCCGAACGTAAATCGAGCTTCCAAGTGCTTAAGAGCGATGACTCCATTGCCGATTTGGAGGATTCGCAGCGTCCACACGATATCAAGTACAGTGGCAGCAATCAAGTCTTTCAAGTGGTGCACGATGGCACCGCTAGCTCCAAGCTGCCCAGTGCATCCGAGCTGGACAAGGCAGACGAATACGAAGAGTTTGACGATGCGGAAGACGATGACGATGCAGATGACATTGATCCGGAGCACGACAGTGCCCTGCGCCGCTTTCTGAGCAGTGGCAGTCGCCATGGTGTTGGCGGCGAGCTGGCCGCCACTAGCGACGCCACTGCAGCCGCTGGTGTCTATGATGGGTTGGCCAACGGGCGCAAGCGTCGCCTGAAAAAGCGCGTGCGCAGCGGCGCCAAGACGCGCAGCAATTGGAAGAGCGCACAGGAGTCGCGCGAGAGCAATGTCGCCTTGGCCACCACCAGCAAAGATCAGGACTCCGGCTTCGAGCCGAGTCCGCGTGCGGAGCGCACCAAAATACCTACACCTCGCACAGCCCATACGGCCATGCCCCGCCGGCCCATCTATGCGACCCTGGACGGGCGCTCCTGCAGCAGTCGCCTGGAGAATCGAAAGCCGGGGGACAAGGGCGCCTGTGACATGGGCGCCGTGACACGCTCCATCCAGCGGAATATTCGCAGGTGAGTCCACAGACCAGATTCCGGGTAACTGATTCGTCACAATTTAAATGGCCATTGGCCAAGATTCATTCATTTAAATTAATCACCACGCAGTTGATGTGGCGGCCGCCTGGATGCCGCTTCGGCGGTAGATTTATTTACTTGATGCTTGATTTTAATCAACTTGAACGTCCAACTGCCGAGCATTGAGGCTCGTGGATTCGCATTATATCACGCACGCGCCTCTGGCCGGCCGCAGCCGCCGTCCATTTAATGTGATCAAAGGGGCGGGCGCCTCAGTCGCCTCAGTCTCAGTCCCAGTGTCAGTTGGGCCGCCTTAAAGTTAATTTAGTTGGGCACTTAGTAGCCTTGGGAACATTTCTCATTTTTTAACGTGGCCAGAGAGGCGGCGCCATTGTTGTCCAGGCCAACAAATAAATTGCCCAGCTTCCGGTTGCCATAAAAATGCGCGCTTTAAAGTTATCATAATGCGGTTAAAGGCAATAAACGCCGCATTAATGTCCATTCTCCATGTACTTGGCCATTAACGATGACCCCGTGCCCACAATAGATTAAAACGTAATTTTAACAAGTGCTGCTCATTATCACGTCATGCTGCATACATATACTTAGTATGTACGGAGTACATCATACTTAAGTACATACATACTTAAATACATAGATAGATGTTTGTCTGCCCTTCGTACTTAATGATTGACAATAATTAATTAGAATTGAGTTGCCAAAAAAGTGTAGCATGTTTTGGGTTTTGGGAATTTGTTCAAGTGCAAGTTTCGTGCTCGTGCCTCCCCGAGCCCATCTCTGCTTTTTAGTATGTATGCATGTTATTTATTTAATTAAAAGTAACTTTTTGTTAACTTTAAATAACTAAGACCCTTTAAAATCCCAAAGAGAAAGTTGATTCTTCGTTCTATACTCTATGCGCAAAGAGAAAGAGAGTATATTGATTGGATGTAATCTCCGCTGCGAAAGGCTTGGAAATTGCTGCACATGTTGGGATTATAAATAAACATCAGTACAATATGTAGGAAAAGCTTCGCTAAATCCACTTCTATCCCGAACAAACTTAAAGCTAAAGTCAGAAAATATTATTTATAATAATTACACCAGAATAGTTTTATTAAGCCTTCTGCTGCTCCAGTTTATCAAGTCAAACTTTGAGCTGTTATTCCACTGGAAGCAAAATTTCCGACTGTAACAATTTTACTTGTGTTTAGATACAAATCAAAATTTAAATTAAACTTTGACCTTTTCTTGTTGGACTGTAACCGCAACGGCATGGTTATATAATATTCCATACACGTGAGTCTGCAGAGTATTAAATAGTTCGTACATTTTGGCGTCGCACTTGTTTCTTATTGCTAATTTATTTTAATTTATACGAACGGCTGGAAATCTCGGAGGCCCCAGGCTCTTGTCATTAGTTGAAATGCTCATTTCCGGCAAAGAGTTGCGCATTTTAATTAAGTGGCAACGCCCACGACCCGCTCACCTCTGAGCCAACGGCCAACGCCCACCTGCGGTGAGTGCTTTGTTTATACAAAAACTGGTTCAAAACATTCAAATGGGACGCAGCTTGCAGTCGGTCGCAAAGTCGGGCGGCGTCTTCATTTACAAGGCGCTAATGCTAATTGTAAGTGGAATTAACGCAGATTAGCGGCGAATTTTTAAGGCGCAAACATGCAAAACGCACAATTAGTTCAACGGCTGTTAGGGACCTTGTAGCGGATATCCTGGCGACGAAAGGATTAAAATGTCGATGCTTACTTGACGACAACAAATTAGTTTTAAAGCTGGAAACGTGTGGGTTGCTCTACTATTGTATTTCTGTTCTGTTGACTTTCATTTAGGCAATTAAATTGTTTTGAGCCACGGCGGATTAAAGAGCAGCAAAAGTCAATTGTAATTGTAATTTTGGGATTTGCATAGGGCATAAGCATAGGACTTGGCAAAACTTAATTAAATTTGAGTAATCACAATTTTATTAATTTTCGTAATCTGGCCCCGATGCCTATGAATAAATTTGCAAGCATTCGGCACAAGTGGAAAAGAAAACGCATTTCATAAATACATAATATTTTCCACTTGACTAATGAAAATATTTACGCGGCCCGCCCGTTCGGGTTTGCATAAGCCAAATAGAAAGCAACTTTTTCCGCTGAGTATAAATATCAGATGAGCGAACGGGAGACCAATGCAAATAGTACGCGGCGTATACGCAATGTTCGCCAAGTTAAACAAGCGTCTTACCCACCACGAATAACACAATTTTTAACAAGTCGGCAGTGTGAGTCAATTAATTCTTGTAAAATACATAAAAATCCAACAAAATCCACTCTGGGGCGGCGGCAGTCAGTTTCGCTGTTTGGCAAAAAAAATAAAATAAATAAAATAAATAAATAAAAAAAAGAATCAAATCTAAAGCTCTAAAGGTAGAATAATCTGGGCTAGGTGCAGGTTTGCTCTGGACTGGCGGACAGCTGTGCTGCCAGCGATGCTAAACACCATGAAAAGTGTGTAAATAGAGAATTTTATTTATATCAGTCGCATGTTGGTTGTTGTTTTATTTTGTTTTTTATTTTTTATTTTGTAACTTTTTTTTTGTGTACAGCCACCTTTATTTTGTTTTTCGCTTTGGCTCCGAAGAGATTAAAATTTTATCTGACGCATAAATTAAACAAATAACTTGCCAGCAGTGCGTATGTATCTCTGGGTGTGTGTGTGTGTGTGTGTGCTCTGCTGCTGCTCTGCCTGTGTGCGTGTCCCAACAGCACAGGTGAGATTTGGGATTTATAATGTGCGCTCACGTAATTGACATTGTTAAATATTTGGATTTCGTTTTGCCAAGGCTCAGCCGACCTCAGCAAGGCTCAATTTTCCTATTTTATGTATTTTTCCTTTCACTCACTAATGTGCAAACTTCTGTTCAAATTTGTTTATTTAAGACACTGGAAGATATAGTTTATTATACCTCTTTAGTTTAAGGTTAGATGCAAGTAAAAAACTTTGAAATACAATCATTTTTCATGGAAGCAAAGCATTCCAATTTCCAAGCGACCGCTTTCGCATATTTCGCGGCAGTCGCCCCTGGAAAGAAAAGCTTCCATTCCTAACCAACTCTCCCTGGGGAGATCCTCCCTGCAGATGCGGAGCTTTCAAAGCAGCGCTCTTCAAACTGCCAAAAAAAAACTTAGGCTTCGATGAAAAATGAGGCGAGAAAGTTGTCCGTTTTTCCCTTTTTCAAAAACCAAAGCCGCAGATGAAGAGCTTTTGTCGAGCTCCGTTTCGCTGGTTGAGGAACTTCCTCGCTTAGGCATGGTCTGCATGGATTTTCACAATTTCTTTTTTGGCAAAAGGACGCAAATACATTGTACAAAAGGCTGCGCAAGTGTCCACACGCAACTGGAAAGTGAAGTCTTCTTAAATGCTCTGCACTTCAGTTTGCTTTTGTTTTTTATGCATTTAAATTGCCGGTGGGCACAGATTTCTTTGCATTTCGTTGTCATTGCCGCTGTCAACAGCCGCCTGCGCCACATGCCGCACGCTCGTGCCACGCCCCCTTGGGCCGTGTTCCACTCCATCCACTTTGGTGCTGCGCGCACTTTTTGCTTGTCAAATTTGTGTCACAAACAGGATGCCGCCGGCGCTGGGGTGGCAAGGGTGGTACAGCTTGCAGGGTTGCACGGCGGCACGGTGGGTGTCATGGAGGCAGTGGGCGTGACAGTGAGTCGGTCACTGAAAAATGTAGCACACAAAATCAACGCGCACAAGAAAATGCAATGAAAGTTCTGCTAAGCGAACGTAAAACGGAAACGGAAATCAGCAGCAGCAGTAGCAACAGCGGCGGCAACACTGAAACCAACGGCAAAAAAAAAACTAAAGGAAAATAAATAAAAATACAAAAAATGTGCCAAGGACACTGGTGAAGAAACTATTTGCACTAGCGAAAAAAAAATATAAAAAAAAGGCAATCGTTGGGCAAGGCAAAAAAGTGCGAGGCACAAATAGTTTTGCAAAGGAAAGTCGAGCAAAGAATTAAGGCACAGCTGAACGAAGCCAAAGCGAGGCGTAAAATTGAAAAGCGCTGCGGCAAACAAGCAGCATTGAAGCTCCACTCGGAGACAGAGCTGAAGATGGAGATGCCGGGGCGAAAATAGCCGGAGCAACCAAATGGACGCAAGAGCAATGGCCAAGGAGCTGCTGTGGTTGCTCGGATCTGTTGGCTGTGGCTCAAAATCTCGCTGGCGGCTTAGCAGCCTGAGATTTCATCAACCTCGTCGCCCGGTGCGGCTTTTCCGGCGAGTTTAAGGGGCAATTTGGCACGCAGTTTTTCCTAGCCAATGGCCACTTTCAGGTTGAAGCGCAGACGAAGGCAGAAGAAGAACCACTTTTACCTGCTGCCTGCTCTGTTAGTTGCCCAATCGTTGGTTGGCAGTTTTGCGCAGCGTATTTGTTTCAAAGTCGAAATTGTTTCGCATAATTTCGCTGTGCACCCAAGTGGCGAACAGTGTCAAGCGGCAACTGCATAAATTGCCAGCCAATTCGCGACACTTTACCACCCGCAGCCCCACCCGCCTACCCCGCCCCATTCGACTCAATGCATAAACAAGTTTGGAACGCGGCTCAGCGCTGCGCTGTGCTGAGTGCACTCGACAAATTTGCTCAGTTTTTGGGAAAATACATTGCCCGGGGCGCTGCCAAAAGTCTCAGAGCCGGCGGTTGATTTGCAAAGTTTGAAGTGCGCAGCCGGAGGCAGTGAGAGATCTTTAAGCTCAGCCTGGCAGCCATGCAGCCAGGCTGCCAGGCAGTCAGGCAGCCAGCGCCTAACTACTTCATTATTTGAACAATTTTTAGATTTTTTGGTAAAAATTTGTCGATTGCTTTTTATGCCATGGCCTCTGGTGGCTTTAATTTCGACATGCTCCGCTTTATGTGCCCTCTCAATTATTAATACAATTTTTGTTTTGCGCGAACGCACTTTAGTATTTTTGAAATTTTAATAACATGATGCCTTTTATTGCGTTCGCGTATTGTGCGCATTGTGTTCCCAGCTAGGGGTTCGGGTGCCGCGTCGGGTGCTCCTTTTGGGTCTCGAGCTATGTCAGGCACAGGCAGGCGGCACAGCAGGCGCGGCCTTTGTTTGCCTCGCAAAATAACAAAATGACAATTTACGTACATTTGCAAACATTTATTTTATGCGCTAGCTGGCAAAGCTTCTGATGATGATGATGAGATGCCAGAAATGGGGAGCACACAGCCAAAAGGAATAAGGACAATGCTGCGCTTTTCTGGGGCTGCTTGCCATGGCATGGCCTTATCCATATTTGCATGCTTTTATACTCTTTGCAGATACTACATGGAGCGCAAGATCTTCCAGCATCTGCTGGAGCTCAAGTCGCTGCAAATACGCTCAAACAAGCTGAACGAGGCGGTGCTGGTGAAGCGCGCCGTTGACGACTATCACAAATCGTGCGTGCTGCTGGGCGGCGAAACTGGCACAAGGCTCCGGCGTTACAATTTCAGCGAATATACGTTTAAGAATTTTGAGCTCTTTCTCTACGAAACGCTCAAGGGACTGCAGAAGCCGGGCACCAACAACTTTCAGAACATCAATGAGGTTTACGAGGAGGTAAGTAGCCCAGATTATACTATATATATAATTCTACATGGCTCAAACGACACATTCAATTGCAGGCGGAGCGTAGGCTAAGCCCCGATTACAATGCGTACGAAAAAGCGCTGCAGTGCACCACGAAGACACATCGTTGCCTCCATGCGGCCCACGCCTACACGGGCATACCCTGCGCCGCCTACAGTAAGTCAATGCCTAAGTCCCTTAAGCATTTCTTTAAAAGCGTGAAAAATGGCACCAGCCAAGCAGACAAAGAGCCAGATGGTCAGACGGTCAGCCGGTCAGACAGTTAGACGGTCGGTCGAATCACTTGGCCATGAGCTGTTACAGTTTTGTTGCCGCCTTCTGAGTGGGTCAAGCGGATGGGCAACACTCAAAGACAAAGATGAAAGTGGTGCGCGTGGGCGCCAAATGCGCCGACAGCATTAAAATAAATCCTAATTACGAGCAGTTTATTCATTTGGCCGAGCAGCCAAGCGCCGAGCGTATTAAAAATATTCTTTGCTTTTGCCCCTTTTTGCTGGCCACATTCCGGCTTTTCAACTTTTATTATAGCTTCTATGCGGCGCGCGAAACGGACGCGGGCGCAGAAGGGGACGGGGACTGGGGCTCGGGCCAAAGGATGCGTCCGGCTTATGCCAAATTAAAAACGCATTTTTTTTTTCTGCCCGAATACTGTGTACGCTCTTTATGTGTAGTCGCCCAGTTAGAGCGGCCAAGACAACATTAATACCGGATCACAACCCGCTTAATCCGTCCAAATGCGCTTTGAGCGACGGCTGGCAGTTGCATGCAACAACAGGGGAGTGAATGCATGGAACATCTTCATGGCAATTGCCTTTTCAGCATTCTAGTTGAAATGTCTGCGCGTTTGGCTTCATTTTCTTATTACGCTTTTTCCATTAAATGCAATTTCACAGAGTGTCCTCGCACTGGCTGACACCTGACACATGCCAACCCCGGGCACCCATGCTCCAGTGGCCAAACTGGAATGCAACTGACTGTCAACTGGATGCTGGCAGCTGAAATTCATTTCGAGTGCGCTCATAAAAATGGCATTCACTTAATTAGGCCGATCGCAGCAGATCATTAATCTTAAGTTTCACTCGGATAACTCATTCTCTCGCTCTCTCTCTCTTTTACGCTATCTGCCAGTTCCCATGATGAATCACCACACGATGCCCAAGTTTGGATTTGGACCGTACAAAAAGGCCGGCAGCGTTAGCAGTTTTTATCTGCCAAAAATACTGACCACTGGCCGCGCCTCCAGCGGTCGGGTCGGTGTTGGCGTTGGAGTCGATGTCGGTTTTGGCGGCAGCGGCAAATGCAGCCACAAAGTTGCTCTGGAGCTGTCACACGGAAAGAGCAAACAACTAATTTCACTGCCAGCGGACAAGTTGGACAGCAATAAACGCTACTATGTGACGTTCACAGTTAAGGATTCTCCGGGGCAGTTCGCTTCTAAAGAGGCGCATAAACAAAACCAACCACAACAACACCAGCAACAACAACACCAGCAACAACAACAACATCAACAGTAATCAGGCTTTGCTGCCAGTGATCCGAATGGCAAGTAGCACGCGGCGTATACGTAATGCGAGATAGCCTGAGCCGCGGGCCTTCGCAACTGTGGCTTGGCGTGACTATTCCCAAACGCAGCATGCCTGTATGCTGCCTCAGCATCAGCATCAGCCACAGAGCAACACGCATCAGCCATCACCATCTGCATCAGCAGCAGCATCAGCATCAGAGCCGGCGTCGCTGCGCCAAATGCATTAAAACAATGCGACATTTTTGCTTCACTTTTTATGTGTTTTGTGCGACCGCCCGCTGTCCAACTGTTTTTGTATTTTGACTTTTTATTCAACTCTTTTTTTTTGTTGTTTTTATTATTGTTGTTGCTTTTGGTTTTGTTTGTGTCCTGCGCGCGCTTCCTGTGTTTTTTTTGTTTGTTTTTTTTTGCTGCTTTGCAGCACTTTAAGATGGCCAACTGCTGATAATGGATGATGGCGCAGCGCTATGCTCTGTGCTGCGGCTGTCAGTTGAAGTTGTCACGCCAGCAGCGTCAGCGGCAACAGCAGCTTGAATTACTTATGCCGCCCCCCGCCACGCACCCCCTGGCCCTACAGCAGCCTCTGCTATGCAGCACTGTTCAGTTCAGTTCTGTTCTGTTTTGTTTGCTGTTCGGCTGTTTGTCTGTTTGGCTGTTGGCGCTGTTGTTGCGCTTTTATTTCAGTTTTTCATTATCATCTATTTTTTCTTGTTTTATTTTTTTTTGTATAAATTTTTTTGTTCCCCTTGCTATTGCTGTGTACGCTGCTAATGCTACAGATAAGCGTTGTTATTAACGCTCGGCTTACCAGCACGACGCAGCAGCAGCGAGGAGCATGAGGAGTCGCCTCCTTGCCGCTCTCGTTGCCATTGTCCTTGCTTAAAAGCAACAGCAACAGCAGCGGCAGCGGCAGCGGCGGCGAATGAATAAATGTAAAATATGTACCGTGCATTTCTTTGGCATTTCAACATTTTTACTTTATTTGGAATTTTATTTACTTGTCTGCTTGCGCGCCCCATTCAAGCTGTTTGTATACTTTCTATACTCTAACCATTGGCTAAAAGGGTATGAGCATACTCCATAGTTAAATGCACAGGAAAAGACAGCTTCGAAGCTTTAGTAGACTTAGATGTAGATAGTCTTGCACTTAACTAAGCGTGCCTTAGCGGCTATCAGCCAAGTATTCCACCTCATATTTAAGGCAATATCATGGAACTCCACTTGGTGGAGGTATACTCTGGCCGATTATTTGACTTTTGCATCCGCTGCAACCGTCTGCATTCACTTCGCATTGGGTGCATTGTAAATGGAGAATAATTGCGTTCAGCACAAAAAGTCCAGATTTGCAAATTGTGTTAGGCGACAAAAAACAAACCATAAAGAGAAAAAGGTTAAAAAAAATAAATAAATTCGCTTTATAAAATAAATATAAAACATATTTAAAAAATGAAAAGCTGATGAATAAAAGCCGCGAGCTACGCGTTTTAAAGAGTTGACATCTAGATTTAAGGCAGCAGTTGCAAATAAACGTTGGAAATGTCTATATTGAAGCTTGTTTTGATTGCGCTTTTATACACAGACACACACACACACGCGCACACACAAAAACACACACGCATGCTCATAGGAAGGAAGAGGGAGAGATACATAACAATAAGCGACCGCCAAAACAATTCCGCCTGCCATGTCCTTGGCATAGATTCGCGCAGCGACTCGTCGCTTTAGCTGATTGCTCCCCTAGCAGCTGCCGATGGCCCAATGTGAGCATCTGGCAGAGCAGGACAGCCCCACGACATCCGCTGACGAGCAGCCCAACAGAAATGAAAAACAAGAAAAATAAAAAAAAAAGAACAACGGACAGGATGCTCGGCATATCTGCAGGCGCTGCAAGCCTCGACAGCGTTTGTGGCCTGACAAATTTAAGCTGCGACCAGGTCAGGATGTCTACCTGGCAATATTGGCCTGGAAGGGCGGACATTGATGTGGTGGTGATTGGGATTGTGATTGTTATGGCTGCCATGAATGCCAAGCGGTGCCTTGTGTGAGTGAGCAGTTACAACTCTTTTAAGGGTTTTGTCAACAAGAGAATTCAATAATTGCTGCAGTGCATCGGGCCTGTTATAGACCCAGTCTACCCAGTTGCAGATGGTCGCGAGCCAAATTGAATTCAAAGCTGGCATTTATGGCCGACTCTTGGATCGCCGCCCAAATGCTGCAGCATTAATATTTCAGCAGTTATGTTCTGGCTAAGCACTCCTTTGTGTATTCAGAATGACCAAAGATTTGGCCAGCTAAACGTCCTCTCATTTGCTCATCAGCTTTAAGGTTAAGCAATGCCTGTCACAGAAAAGCACGCAACAAACTGTTCTACGATTTGTCTGCTCAGCCATCCATATACCACGCCGCCGTGCCGACATTTCGGTTTACGCACTTAAGTGCAAATCTGTGGATTTATCTGGCATTAGTTTTCCTCTCTCTCTCTCGTTCTACCCAAGCGGAAATACAAAGAAAGTTCTTGCGTTTGCTGTTAAGAAGTCCACGTAATTGTATTCCACCGCGCGCGTGTAACAAAACAACGACTAGGTCTGCAATTAAATAAAATGGCAGAATGCACGAAGGTACAAATTTTATCCGCTTTTACCTGGAACCCTTTGGCAATTAATAAACCTGGTCTTAAAAAAAGAGAACAAAAAAGAAACATTTTGTCAATCAACATATTCTGTTGAAAGTCCGAATTCATTTAATTTACTTTAGAATTAGATAAGATTAACATTTATTCCTGATTTAAAAAAATAGAAAATAAATAAATTACGTGTCAAGCAGGTCGCGGCATGGACTTTTATGCTTTGAAATAGGTAATAGATAATAGGTAATAGATATATCTATCCTATGTTCTTCAAGTTCTGCCTTAACAAATATTCCAAGGTCTCAGTCGTAGATTAACGAGTTTGAGCAATTGTTCTTTTTATTTATGTTGGTCCTTATGGCCATTTCAGCTAACGCTTTCTCTGCGCTTAGAGTAAAGGGTTGATATTTAAAAAGTTACTGTATGCATTTCTTATTGTTTATTTTTTCTAGACTGATTATCTTTCCTACACATTTGTGTGTTCCATACACAAATCAATTATATATCCTATAATATATGAAGATAAGAAATTCGAAATCAAAAACCCTCAAGTGATGCAGCTAACTAATTGCAGCTCAAGTATTAAAACTAATGTTCTCTATTGAACTGGCCGAGCTGAAAAGTTTCATCTGTAGGGAAAATATGCAATGCAATTTACCAAACTAGCATTAAATTGTACTATAAACTGCAGTTGAAAAGTTTGCAGGGGGTTAGCTTCAAATTTCATTGGCTCCTTTGATGGAATGAGCTGCCGTCCCGAGTGCAAGCCAAGTTGCAAGCCATTCAAGAGAAGCTGCTGGCCAACTCGCCGTGTAAATTAATGAAGGCCGACTAAGCTAACCGCCTTTCTGTTGTTTCGATTACTCGCCTCGGGCGGGGCGGGAGGTGCTGCAGTAAGAAGTGCAGTTAATGGGAGCAAGTGCTAGAGTCCTTGAAGGTCCAATGTTTTGGCTCTTTGCAGGATTTAAGGCGCATTAATATCACTTAACCCTCGGGAAAAGTTGGCTAGCAGCGCGGCAAAGTTGGCATCCATTTGGAGTTTGATGTTGGGCTAAATGCAGGTAATTGAAATTGATTTGAATGCAAAATGGACATTTTATTTTAATTCAGTTTATTTATTAAGTATTCATTAATATTATTAACACACTCAGTAGTTTCAACTTAATTGTTAAATATATTTACCATTTAATTTAAGTTTATTTCATCTGTAAAACTAACCTCACCTTAAAGATAATCAGTTTAGTTTTGTAATTTCTTTTTCTGAGAAAGACAGAGAGTTAGAGAGAAAGGGAGAGAGTTGCGAGAGGCTGGTGCTAAAGGCGGGCAAGTACAAGGAAATTCAATTGGCTCGACTTGCTACGCCTCGTCCCGCTCTCAATTTCGCTTTGCTATTGATCTATGGTATAATTGTAATTTATTTTATTACGCATACGCAGTGTATATTTTGCTAGGCTGCCATTTTGTTTTGCATATTTGATATTCACATTCACACTCACATCCATGAATATGTGTGTAATGTTATCCATAAATGCTAGAGTATTTAGATTTTATGTATTTTTAGTCGATTACTTTAGTTATTTATAACATGTACATACAATGAATTAATTTATATTATTGTAGTTGTTGCTATTTATCTGCTGTATTTGCTGTCCTTTTTGTTGTTATTGTAGTTAGATTTGTGGTTGCGCTGGCTGCTGAGTCTTTAATTTATTTAACATTTATTCATTATGCACTCGAAGTTTGCGCTTACTTTGTTTTGGCCAGCCTTTGTTATGGTAATAGAATATTCATGAATGAATTCATATATATATATATAGAGTCAGCCACAGCGCCTACCTCAATACGTCAGGTTCAGTGGGCGGCTCCTACAACATGCTTGTTTCGAAATTTTCATGGAAATTGAATATAAAAAATACCCATTGCCAACGCCGAAGATGGCTTCTTAAATTTCCTTAGTATTTTAATTGTTCGCAAGGCTGCAGGCGCCTCCTTGGGCTGCTAACTAAGACTGACAGTTAACGGTTACGATATCGTTTTGTTGCTATAAATTCTTGACCTGCCAGCCCAATTGCACAAAAATACATAATCCGATATTAATTTGTTGCTGGAAATTCTTGCAATGCCTGTCGGAATGTACAATGTACAATGTGGGCTATTGCTGACCTCAATCGAGAACGAGTATCGCCTAGTTATGCTCTTTTCGGAGGAAATTTCCCAATTGAATATTCTCCAATAAACATTTCACGTAACTTAAGCATACATCGAGCACTTAGTTTAAATATTTTGGTAATTTTGATGAGTTTTGATTTAGCGTTGGCTCTCGTCTGCATCTCGGGTTTGTTATTGGTTTTCCGCTTTGCTCTTTGAGTTGAATTACAATTTAATTTACTTGAAATACACACAATCAGACTAATAACTAAACTTGGCCTAATACCTAGCTTAATAACTGAATTGTTTATTATAATTACAGTTAGTATTTAACATTTAAATGCAGTTTGATTCATGTTTGCCCCTTATATATGTACATTTGATGGCGATGATGCTCGTTTTTGGTTTGCTCCTTTTTTTGATTTTGATCTGTGTTTGATTGGGTTCGAATGTGTTTGCTGGATGTATTAATGTGTGTGGTAAGATTTACAAAATTCATGTTTTATGAAGTGGCAAAGCCGCTTAGTTATTTTGTTTTCTTTTTTTTTAACTTAGTTTTTGTTTTAGCATTTGCATTTTATATGACACTTATACACAAAAGGGTTTATCCCCTGTATCTGATACACACACACATCAATAGAAATATGCATGCGTGTTTTACCATTTGACATTCATATATATAAATTTAGGCTAAAAATTTACAGCTATGTAAAACAAAAATTGCCATCAACTATGTTGCCCAAGGCGCCGTGGCTGTCATAGAGCTTCATGACACGGACAGGGGGAAGGAGGCTATGTGTACTGCGGTAGATATTATTACTCTTTACAATTACTTCAGCGTGGGATCCAGAGTCGTAAATTCCAATTCGCCGCGCGGTAATATTAGATCCGGGTCTGCAATATACACTTTGGTTGGTTGGCATAAAACAAAATCAACGACAATGGCGTAAATGTACAGGTGTGAGTGAGTGAGTGTGTGTGTGTGTATGTGTGCGAATTTTATAAAATTAATAGTGAATAATGCGCAAATGTGTGTGTGTGTGTGAGGGAGAGTCGGTTATGGGTGGGAAGAAAAACAAAAGTCCAATTTGTGTTTACCGATTAGTTATGCTTGTTTTATTGACTTTATTATTATTATTATTTGTTTTTATTTTCTGCTTTGCTGAAATTCATAACACTGGCAAAATGACATCATATAACAGTTGCAAATTGTTTTGGCAGCAAATGAAAAATATGTAAAAGAAAAAGTTATCGTAACTATTAGCAAATATCAAAAGCGTGACCAACTGTGCGCCGATAAGAGCAACAACCAAGCACAACAGCAAACAAAAACAAAAACAACAACAGCAACAGCATATAAATATTAATATATTCCCACGCCCGCTGAGCCCGGCTGGATCGTAAATACCAAATAATTCAACAATTTCTTAATTTTTATCGCACATTTATGTCCGAATACATTTTATTGTGTCGCCCGCAACACACTGAGTTCGCGTCCAGGTCAAGCGCCATCTAGCGTTGGCTGCTGGTGCTGTTTTTTACGATTCTGCAGTTTGTTATTTGACGTTCGTTCTGCCATAGCGCCCTGTGTTATATTTTATTATTATCGCTCTTTATGTCACATTTGTGTGGCGTCTTTGAGTCATAAAGACGCACAAACTAAAGCAACGTCCAAATGGCGTCACACATTGCGTATGTGTGCGTGTGCGCGTGTGTGTTTGTGTGGGACCTTTTACGTTTACTTTCACGCCATGCCAGGCAGCATTAAAAATGTCAAAAGTTGCAAAAATGTTGCCAGCTCTGGTAGTCAAAGGCAAACAGGGAAAGAGGAGCGGAAGTGCGGCGACAAATGAACGAGCGTTGACATTGAAGTACCACAGAGGAGCCCTGCTAGTGCGTGTGGCAGCAAAGGCCGCATCAACAATGTTGCCAAAGCAAATTGTGTGGCACTTCTTGCGGCTCGGCCACAGACATCAAAGTTGATGTTGAGAGCGCCCAAGGCCTATAAAGCCGTCACAATTTTTACAGCACGCTTTAAGACGCCTTTAAGCGAGCAGCACCGCAACAAATGACTACTCTTAGTGACTTGAGTCGGCCTCTTTTTCACTGGCTGCCACTGCGGGCCCAGTCTTAACTCTGTCTAATTAGACGAGTGCCACTGAAGTGTACAAGAACCCAAAAGCAGCCCACACACACACACACACACACTTACATGTGTATGTAACAATATGTGTAGCACATATCTTGCGGCAGCTGGCGCAAAAAGCAAGAGCCCAAGGACAGCTGCACAAATGTTACCCGTTGGCGACGCGACTCATGACGCGCACAGACAAACAAAACAAACGTCCACACAGCGACAACAACAACAGCAACAATAACAACAATAAGACAAAATGTCGAGCAAAATGAATGGTGCAGCATGAAATGAAACAAATGTGCACAAAAAAAGGATACGCAAAAACAAACACCTACATACACAGCCACAGCCACACACATACGCACACGCGAACGCACACACAAGCGCGCTTATGGCGTTGTATGTAAAAGCTGAAAAAGTCAAACGTATTTGCCTGCGCAAGAGGTTCGCTGAATATAAAGAAAACACGAGCTAAACTCTCCTAACCTGCCCCGCAGTAACCCATCACCTGGTCCCCTACCCATCATTCAATTTGCGACGCGTGCGCCACCTAGCGAGGCTGTATGCAATTAAAAATGTTGGCTAATGACAGCAGCAGTCGCTGGGCGCTGACGGGCATGGCGGCTATGTAGCATGGTGCTCCATGCTCACACATACACATATACAAATACATGCATACACACACATGTGAGTAACTCACTTTCTTCACTTGAATAAGTGCGCTCTAAGTGCTGACATTCTGTCTGAGCACGAGAGTACAGAGAGTACATGACTTTCAAGAAGCTGCTCAGAGGAAGAAGCAAAGTGAGAAGTAAAACGATGCGGTATACCTGCTTAGGGAAAAGTCCATACTAGTTCTCATGGAAGAGAAGTACCAAATGAATTCAAGAGAACTTAAGTGTTAAGCAAGGTGAGAGAGAGAAAGAGTGCGAAAGTAAGCACTAAAAATAAAAGTGAAATAATTATCAGAAATTGTATTAATCAAATAATTGGTCGGATACGGCTCTTTTGATACTTGTAACTTGACTTTATAGGTCACGGTTGTAAAATTAATAAAATATATTCGTTTACACTTTGCTGAGAGAGTATTCTTCAAGAGTATTCTTCAAGCGACGGGCCTTAAACTGTTTGGGCCCTCTAGTTTTTTGCCTTGGCTCAACAGTTCCAACATTTTTGAACCGCCCGGGCACACTTCAGTCTGACTTTGGTACTTGTTGGTGTCTTGTGAACAAGAGCAAGTCAACTTGGTGCATGTGTACAGGTCTCTATCTCCCTCTCACCCTCTCTCCGTGTTTGTGTATGAGGGGTATACGGGATACGCTTGACTGTCAAATGTGAGAGGCGCTGTGGCATGTCACGGCGCAGCGCCTGCGGCGCCTATAAATTGAAAAGTTGTCAGGCATGGGACCGAGTAAAAGCATAAAAAACGAACAACAATGTGGCTAATTTGTGACCTTTGCGTGAGGCAGTATTCGCATTACAGCCAAATAATGCGGGCCTTAAGCGCGGGCCTGTGCATATTGAATTTAAAATAAAATCACGTATACGTCATAGCTGCCCATTGAATAATATTTGCATTCGCCATGTTGACATGCTTGCAAATGGACTGCCTATTTATGCTTTTCAATATAGTGCTTTTGCAAAACATAATTGAAATTTATGCAATTTAAAGTTAAAACAAAATTTACACGTGCTCGCAAAGTAAACAGAGCGAGCAGCATATTTTGCAAATTTGTTTGCTGCACTCGCCGAGCGTGCAACACACGAGCACTAGATGCAAGCAAGTATTTGCATATAACTTTGTATCTGGCTTGTGTACATATTTATGTAGCACCGTTGTAGCTGTGTGCAACGTGTCCAAAGGGCTTTTTCACACAGACGCAGACACAAATACCAATTCTAATACCAATACAAATAGCTGCTACATTACGACCTCATTCGTTATGCGCTGCACAGTGGCACCGCAGCATGAAAGCCGTGGAAAAAATCTTTAAATTGTGTTTCTTGGAAAACGATTGCAGAAGTTTATTTCAAGTCTGACATCCAGTTTTTTGTTTTAATTTGCACATATATCTGTTTTAGTTCTCGGCATTTAGAGTTTCAAAAAGAATTTCTGGTGAAATGCGAATGCTGTTGCCTTTTCGAATGAAAAAATTTGTATCTGCAAAATATATGTATTAAATTAAATATCAAAATTGTTAGCTCTGAATTTAAAAACTCGTATAGCCCCGAAAAAGACGTACCCTACGTCTTATTGATGACTCAGAGATGAGTAATAAGCAGATGACTTTTTGCAGAATTTTATAAGTTGCTTCTTGTTAAATGAAATTCTTGCCAGGCGAATAAGTACAAATATTTAATATTTGGCTTTTGCAAGGAATAAAACCAAAATGCCCCACTGTAGTGACGCCGCATCGTTTCTTTATGTCAGCAGGGCTGTGCGGCATTTGTCCTTTTTAAATACAATATTTAACATATGAGCATGCCATTGTCATGTCACTTGTTGGGTTGCTGCTGTCGTTCCTTTGTTGTTGTCGTCGTGTGCAGTGGTTTTTGACCATCAAGACTTGACACACAAATTCCTAACAAAAGCACTTTGAAATCTTCAATCATATTTTATTACATTTTCTCTTGTGCAATGTCGATGCTGTCGATGTGAAACAATCAATCCTTTAATTGTTTGGAAAATGCCTATTATTGCTCCTGATTGAGGCAGATAAAGAGCACACAGCTGCAGCAGCTACAATGTGCCAGAGTACGAGGCTGAGATGGTTTTAATTTTCAAATGATTTGCTTAACTGCACACGCACACACACACACATACACCCACATGCGATGCTGACCCAATTGCACTGCAACATTTATGGTCCGTTTTCGGCTAGAGGAATCCCATCCACAATTGTCAAAATACCCTAAATTAAAAGAAATTTGTGGCTTTGTTGTGCAATTTGCGCAGCAAAGTGCAAATGTCAAAGAGAAAGTCATCAGCCAGAGACCCATAGAAAGCCAAAACAAAAAACCTCAAAATGCCTTGCAATCGGTAACTCCCGACATTCAGATGCTCTATATATGCTAAGTGCTAAAGGATTTTGCCTATTAAAAATATCTTCTCGCTAGCCTCAAAATTAAGAAAATTTATAGTTTGAGCAAATGGCTTTAACCTTTTACCAATATGAAAATGAATATCGAATTTTGTTAAAAGTCGCCGTAGTCTATTTTATAACAGAGTATACAATGTGGAAATGTGAACGCAGTCAATCGATCTGTATACGATGTATGACAATGGAGGCAAATTAAAATATGAAATCAAGCAAGGTTTTCTTCTTTTATTTGAATTTTCGTATACGAAATATTGGAGAAGATGACTTGCTTAATTGGATCTTTAGAAGACATTGTGCAGATGCGAAATGTATAGGACCTGAATAGAATATCCAGCTATGAACACTCTATCTGTTGCTTTAGTTTAAGTTCAAGGTATGTGTGTAGTTATTGTTTTTGTTCTCAGCTGGTTCTTGCTTTTCAGCTTTTTGCACAGATTTTGCTTTATAAAATACAGTTTGCATACATTTGGGCGGCCAGGCGGACGCATCGGTAGCAGTTGCACAGAGCTTTGCAGCAGCCGGGTGGCACATGGCCACGACCACGTCCGACATTGTGGCAGAGTGGGATGGGTCGGCTGCTCGGCGGTAGCGGCTGGTCGGGTGGCCGGCAGTAACAAGCAAAGGTAGGAGCACGTCGCCTAGGATGGGTTAGCGGTAACAGTGTTTGAATGCATCGTTAGTAGCGCCACAGAATGATGACAGGGTTGGAGTTAGGGCAGGTGAAAGTTGCAACTTTATAAATTATCTGTGCACTACATTGCTTTAAATATTAGGCAAGGTATTTACACAACCTCAAGTCTAGAATTTAACTAAGTTGTTTGGTGATGAGTGAAAAGCGGCCAACAGGACAGTTACAAAGAGATAGAGCGAGAAAGAGGGGCTAAGCTATTAGAGTGACAGATAGATAGAATGTGGCTTGATACTGTGGAGCAATTCAAGAGAGCTATCTATAAAGTACTGCCGGGATCCCAGGACAACTACTACATAGGTACATGGTAGCAGAAGGTGAGCCAATCTGTACGAGTGTGTACACATTCTAAGCATATATATATATATATATATATATTTATGTATATACTTCAAGTGCTGCCCTACAGCGTTGGCAATCAATTGAAAATGGGAAATGAATCAATGGAAATGAAAACTACGAACAGTTTCGATTAATGCTAATTAGAAAGTAGCATATCATAAGCTACTTAGCAAATAAAATAAGGGCCAATTAGTTTTTCAATTACAAACACAAGGATATTAAAAAAATAATTTATTTGCTGGTTTGTTCAATGTTCAATGAAATGCGCTCTACCCCACAGCAGTAAATAGTCTAACTGGAGTGTGTGAGTGTGTGTGTGTATGTGTGTGTCAAAATGTGTGCATCATGGAAAAATAAAAACACAATATTAACCACAAATATTGTGCACGCACGCGATTTGCCCTGTTGCCTGTTTACAGTTTACAACTAATTTAATGTAGACTAACATGCACTTGAAGCTATTAAAAATAATTTTAGAAAATTATAAAACTGAAACTGAATAAATAATAGATTGACTAATGGACCGATTGACAGTCGCATTGACATTTTATTAATTTGGTTTCACGTCATTTGAGATATTAATCTATTCTACATATGCATGAAACCCACTCGTAATAAATACTCGTCGTTTACATATTTATATTTGTGCAGGCAATTTGTGTGCATAAATATCTAAAAAGTATTTACAGTCGTTAGAATTCGATTCAGTTTAATTAAATTGCAGCAATCAATCAACTAAAACTATGAATACAACTTAATATTAAGTGCGGACTCAAACAGAACTCAAGAGGTAAAAAGCAAACCAAGTGGATGCAAGAGAGCTAAATACGATATACAGAATATTTAGTAAGAGTTGGATACATGACTAGACTACTTCAGCTACTGGCTACAGTTTGTTGAGTATAGATTTTGGAATAGTACCGTTTAGACTGGGCTGCGCGTACTGTATGAAGCTCTCGGAGATGTAATGGTGCGGACCGCCAACGCCCACAATGCCGCCGCTGGGTCCGATGCCTCCGACGCCTCCAGCACCGCCGCACAGATGAGATGTGGCAGGTGTGATTCGAGCCCGGATCTCCGCAGCTCGTCCGCCGCCCTCCTCCAACTCGTTTAGCTCATCCTCCTCAATGTACATTGAGGGCACATCGTTGCGCGCCGGCCTGTGGGAAATAAAACAAAAAGAAAAACAAGTCTCACAAATCTATTAAAAGTTTTTAGACACACACACACACACACACACGCACCTACACAGCGAGGTATGCCCGCCAACAACTTGCTAATAGTTCCCCGGACGGTGTCCATTTTTTTGCATTGCGACACATTTCTTAAAAAGTGAAACAGCGCAACCTAAGCGACCAGCACAAGTCAACAAGAACAACAATATTAGTTGGCCACCTGGGAGCAGCTGCTGCCACTTTTCAAGCCGTTTCACATTTTCTATTCAATAGTCCCGTTGCACGTGGCGTATGCGCAACATCGCTCGGGCTGCACAACGCGCTTTTGCGAGGACACATAACAGCGAAATTTCAATCTGTTTGCTCCCAGATCTGCTATAATTGATGGCCACCCCTAGCGCAAAGGCTAATTAATTCCGATGCGCCCTTATCAGTTAAAATTGAACGCACACAACGAAAAACCGCGTGTGTGTTTGCCATGTGCGCGTGTGTGTGTTCGTTTAAATATTTGCACTTTTACTTTTGCCACAAAAGGCAAATCGTTAAAATTTATGCATTGACGCACATTGGCAACAAGGCGGCGCGCAGCGGGGTCAGCTCACCTGACAGCCACTGATATAATACATAATTTGATACAGTACAGTGCTCGGACGGAATATACGTATAATTGCAATTGGCCAAGAGCCGTTTTAAGAGCGCCTCTATTGCCCCCATATTATTAGCCCCGCCCCCCGCAAACAAATTTGTAAAGCGACCATTTAATGACCCACATGCGGCTCGCTTTGATGTGACAAATGTGACGAGGCTGGGGGCAGCCAATCAACTAGCTGCTGCTATTTTTGTAACTTTTTACTTTGGCGCATTTTAATTAATATTTGTTGGGCTTTGCTTTGATGTAATGCCCCATCAAATGTTCCCCGCTTACTCCATCTATTCCCATCATCCCCTTTATCGCAGATTCGAGTAGGTGGACCGATAATCAGGCGCCTGATACGATTGAGTGGCAGCATCAATTTGGCAGGCTGGCAAATAGATAGACGCACGCAAAGGACTCCAAGGGTAACTAAATGAATGAGTTAAGCATTACGCACACACACACACAAACACCGCACATAGAAGTTGCCACTGTGGTTGCAAGTTTGCCTTTCATTAGCACAGGCTCCAGCTAGGGCCACAGCTGACAGTCGCCTGAGTCCGGTAGCTGTTACCTGGACGGCCGGATGGTTGCCGCTGCCGAGAGTGAGAGGCATTGACGGAGACAGAGGCAGAGCGACAGGCAGGCAGCTGCAGGTTAAGCAGCTGCTTAATTATATACTCTTTGCTGGGCGACCCTTTCAAAGTTAACGCTGATTTCTTATCTTAAATGAAACTCTCTTTGCGGTGCGGCGGTGTCAGGCAAGCGGCTTCCGTTTCCGGTGCACAGCACACACAGACACGCAGACAAACAGACACACAGCGAGGGCGAGTGTCGTTCATTTTGATTCTTTTCTGCTCCTTTGTGGGTCATAGTCAGGTGCAGGTTTAATTAATTTAATTACAGTCTAAGCATAATTTAGTGGGCAGCTGCGTGCTCTTTGTTTAGCTTGGGCCCACGGGCGGCTTTCGGTCTACTGCTGCGGGCTAATCGATTTGGTCATTGCCGGCAAAATGTTTAATGAGCCTGATGCCGTTGCCAGGCATTGTGGCCAGGCCCATTGATTTGATCGCATTTTAAAGACTTGAACTTAAAGCAGCCGTGCAATTAAATGTGCACTAATTTCTTGCGTTCGCTATGCCTTTTAATTATATTTTATGAAAAGGCGCAAAAAAGTATGCTACAATTATTAATGCTGTGGCTTCAACCGCTAACCCTTCTTCTGCTGCCGCTGCCCTTCGTCTACCATTTCTGCTGCTGCTGCTGCTGCAGCACACGTGCGCCACATAAATAATGCTGTAATTATTTCTGCACACACAGCCGCAGCAGCAGAGCAAACAATTTCATTATTTGTTTTTATATGCGCTCAAGTCAAAACAATAACAAGAAACAACAACACACAATTCACTATAAGACTGCTCGACCGGGCGATACCCTGTACAACCTTTCACTGAACAACTTTAAGCGGACTTTATTTACCAAATCCCGTTTCAGTAACCCGTTTTACGCACCCGTTTACAGGGTATATATGACAGACTTACCGCATGCTTTTGCGCACCTCCTGCGGCTCAGGTGGCCGCGGCCGATGCCGACACACAACAACAATGCCGGCCACGATAATTGACGTCACAATGACGGCGCCTATCGCCACGACGGTGGCAAGTATAAGGAGCGTCGACTCCTTCTCTGGGCCGCTGCCAATGCTGGCGCCGGCGCCGACGCCCCCTGCGCTGCTGCTGCTGCTGCCGCCCACATGGTGCGTGGTTTCCGCGGGCGTCGGGTCCTCCGAGAGAATAGATTCATCTGTAAGTGAGATAAAACAAAACGAGACGTGGACGCAGGTTAGAAATCAAATAGTTTGCTGGGCACGAAAATGGTCTTTTGTAGGGCGCGGTGTCGGTGAAGGGGCGGGGCGCACAATGATTTGTTATTTGCTCGAAATTAGTATGAAGTTGTGGAAGCAGCCGCTGCTCCACACTCCTCATTTTGCCATTTTCATTTTTTTGCGTTACATTTGCCATTTATTTATTTGTTTTGTTGTTTTATTTTGGGACTTCGCATGTGTGTGTGTGTGTGTGTTTGTGTGTGTCTGTGTGTGCTCACGTTTCGCCTTTTGCTTAACTGATTGCTTTAACTGTTTTGCTGTAGTATTTGTTTATGGGGTCTTCTGTTTTCTTAGCATTTGTCGTTCCGCTTCTGTTGTTGTAGCAAATTGTGTTGAAAATTGAAATTAGCCCAATTGGGCAATCGCTTGTGCGCTGGAATGCGAAGCCTGGGTTGCCCGGAGCTGCCAGGACCTCGATAAGGCTTTAATTGCTAGTCGCCGGCAAGGACATCGAAATCAAGACGCTGATTGCTCGAGATTGAAAGAGCTTTGCCAATTATTAGCAATATGTTATGGGAAGGCATTGTTTATATTTATTAGATTTTCAGCTAAAGATGGTGAAGCGGAAATTGCAACAGCAAACTCTTTGTAAGATGATCCCAGAGGCAAGATTTATGCGATTCATTCGTCTTGTCTCAGCCAACCGCCCACCTGCCCAGCTGCCCGCCAGTTGGCAGGAGGAGCTGCCTCCTTCACTCCTATGCTTTGCAGCATTTCCGCTCCATTTGCGAGCTTCGCATTGAAACACTGCCAAGTGGCTGCTATGGTGGCTCTCGGCTGGCTTTTAGAGCGAGCATTTAAGTGGAAATTGCCTACACCTGCGGCTCAATTTAATTTTTGTTGTTGTGCGGCTGCTATTGATGCTGCTGGCCTTTGCCAACAATTTTCTTTTCAATATTCTTGGCCACATCTCTGCCATTTCTATACCCTGTATCTGCACAAAATGTCGGGAATGCTTATTTCCATTTATATTAAAGTGCTTTTCTTTTTGCACTCATTTGTCCCATTTTATCATAATAAATTCTACATTTTTGGGGCACATCTACTATAATTATTGATATTAGAGTAGAAAAAAAGCTTTGCTTAATGTTCGTCCTTCATGAGCAGAGGGTATCTCCTATTCTCCCTTAATCTTGACCTGTTCTCGTTAACCAGCCATTCTTCCTGTTGGCTTCTGGCTAACAGATTTGTTTGCGTATGCCAGATTTCCCAATTTATTTGCTGCCTACTCTCCCCAGACTCATGTGGGCACTTCCTTCACCGTTTTTCATTAGGTTTTTTATGCGAATAACTTAGCCTTATGTGTTTTTCATTTCGACGTAAACAGATTTAAATCTGCAGCAAAAATCATCGTCAAGCGTCGACGGCTTTGCCGTTATTCACACGTAAATATTGTGACTCCAGGGCGGCGCTGTCTTGGCCTATTTATTACCAAACACCCTCACACACCCACCCCCACTCCTACACGCCCACCCACACTCACCGAGGCAGCAGTCCCAGACAATGTGTAAATAATAGAAGCTGCGAAGGAAGGCGCTGACTGGCAATGTTAAAATTTCGCATAAATTACTCCTATCAGAGCCTTCAAGGGATCTTTTTGCACTCGCACCGACTACGGCCCTGTGGTAATCACATTTATTGTTCCGAGGCCGAATAAATGCATTAAGACCGACAGACGAGAAGACGTACTGAGGGTCGGGCTTAAATGACTAACAAATTCATTGAATAGGCTGAAACTGACCTGGCTCGCAGGACGGGATGGTGGACAAGGAACATTTAATTGAACATTTGCGTATGAAGCACAATTAGGTGCATTAAATCGGTCAATATTATATGTGATTTATGGCCAACTCGAACTGTGCACCGTTAAGGCAAATGGAAATGTTCAAAGAGTGTGGCAGGCAAAGCAGAGCGAGGGCCAGAGGCAGCCACAGGCAGTGCCACAGGCGGTGCCGCAGTGCCGCCACTGCAAATGAAAATGGTAATGGAAACGCAGATAAAAATAAAAATCAGCATGAAAATAATGACAACATTGTTCTCGTTGCTGCCTACGCACGAATATATTTATACGTATACGCAATGGACGAGTGCGAATGCGAATGCGAATACGAGGCGAACAATAAAAGCAAAGTGTCTACGGCGTCCCGTTAAGCAAAACGAAAATTGAAGCAATTTCGCTTCTCCTTCTCGCTCGATGGTATGAAATAAAGAAGGGCGCTGCCAATGACATACACCACACTCTCACTCACACACGTACACATGTGACCACACACAGTTGTCGTTAAGAATGGTAAAAATGAAGAGGCTGTAGCGGCACGCCCTTGCGTATACGCAATATGCGTGCTTCGCTCAGCGCATTGATGGAAAATGCTGAAATGCTTTACGCTTCGCTGCATAACTCAGTCAGTGGATTAGAAAAGGGCGGCCTCAGCGGCAAACCTACAAGCCTGCCAGCCAGCCAGCTAGTCAGCCAGCCTGCAAAGGACTACTCAGGTTACTTGCTTTGCTTGTGCGTGCGCCATGTGCACAGTTTTCGCGGCGGCTGATTGAAGATGATTTCCCTGAACTTGCGTTGATTTGAAAATTCACTCAAGCGTTGAATTAGACAGCTACGTCAATTTCTGCTAGCTACCAACTACAAACTGCCAGCATGCCAGAAACCCAACTCGGTCAACTTTATTGGTACATCCAAAACTGGCAACTGGCAGAGGCAAATTCAGATTGGCAATTGGCAAATATTTTGGCACACTTTATGTAGGGCTTTTGTCTTGTGACTCGGCCAGTTGGCCACTCGGCCAGTCGGGCACTCGGCTATTTTGGTTACTTGTTTACCCCGGTAGTCGGGTACTCACCATATGGTCCCAGTTGTGCAGCGACGCGCACACGTTCAATCACCACCGGCGGCTCGCTGCGTCCCTTTGCGTTAACGGCATAAACTAAAAATTGATATTCACGTCCCGGCTCTAAATTATTCAAACGAAATTGTGGACTGTTTTCCTGTATGCGAAAGATGGGTGCAGATGTAGCCTGAAAAAAAGAAGAGAAAAACGTTACAGCAAAATAAAAACCAGATAACCAGTTGGGAGTTGTATATATATCATATATATACATATCTTGATGGACATGTGTCCCATCATAATATGCTGGCCATATGGTTTAGCCATAAAGTATGCTACGCTTATTTGTTGCCAACTTTTGGGGCCCAAACTTTCTGCACACGCCCACACGACTATGGCAGTGCACAGCCCATAAATAATTATTCATGCCTAAAAATGTGTTTAGAGTGCATGCTGTGTGTGTGTGGGGGGAATGCCACATTGTTCTGACCAGAGCGCTGTCTGAAATTTTAAACTGAATATCCGTTTGCCGTAATAGGACACAATCGAGTGAGCTTCGTTGGTTACGCACAAATTCCCACTCAAGTAAGCGTAAGTAATTTATGTTGTCCTTGCGGCGTTTATGCCACCCCAACCCTCCCCCCTCCCCCGGCCACACAGCCGGCCGACCAACGTCCACCGTCCACACTGAGTACTGTAGCTGCTGTCAATGTGGCTGCCCCAGCCCCACGACCCTTGGTGTATGCCATTTTTATCTAGCGTGAAACTTTAAAGCTGCAAACGTCCAACGTTGGTCGGAGTCCATGTCCTGCTCATCATCCTTTCCGCTTGCCTCTGCTCGGCTCCTGGCCCAGTCGTTGCTTTGCGCTTGGCTACATTGCTAATAAAGTCGCCCGCCCAGCGCTTCATCAGCAAAGCAAGCAACTGGCGTGTATCAGACTTACCGCCCAACCCCCCCTCCCCTTTCTCTCTCGTCAAGCCCCATCGTTTGCCTAACTTAAGTTGGTGAAAGCAACGAAACGAAATGAAATGAAATTTTCATATGATATTCTCTTTTACGAGTGACAGAGATAATTTAATAACTCAGCATGTGTTCACCGCGTTGGCTTATGGATGAAGTCGACCCCCGCCCATCGTCCTTTGTCCACTCAGTTGGTTAAACTGCTTGGCTCGAATGGAAACTCATAGCATTAATTATGTTGTCCTTTTTACGCTTGAGCCGATTGGCTCAACCCGAGCGACTGGCCCGCCGTCTGCCTCGTCTCAAAATCATATTCATTAATAATTCAAGCAGAAAAGTCAGAAAGGACGAGCACACTAATTGACCATATGGATTTCAAGCGATTCAAATTGTGGCTCTGCCTCGGGCTGCCCGCTCGCTCGCTGGCCCGTACCTTAACTGTAATTCAATCAGTGCGCCAGACTCTCTGAACGCCAACTGCACGTGTTGAAAATACGCTTGAACTGAAGTGAGGACTCACCTGATCATTGAGCGTGGATATCTCATTGTCGCCCTGGCCAACAGTCTCGCCAAACTGACCCTTGCCCGCCGCCGCCGACTCGCTGGCGTACAGCAAGTCACCGCCCACCACCTCCAGCATGAAGTATTGTGAGAGTCCGCCGTCGCTGCCGGCCACACAAACCACCTCGAGGACGGTATCGTTGCGCAGTTCGCAGGCTTTTGGCGCCTCAGGTGCATCTGCAGGGCGAGAAAGAAAGGAAGGGGGCAGTGAGGACAGGCGTTGCTCTTAATGGACTATTGCAGGATAATTTACAGTTAGCATTGGTAACAATTTGCATTTTGAATTTGGGGCATCATTTTCGCCACTTTGCGCAAATAAAGGCGAGGCAGCGACACGCCCACCGTTTGCATTAATAACGTCCAAATTTGGCCAAAGACCTTATAATAATACGAGCTGCAGGTAGACCGCGTACTCTGATGATTATTTGCCATGGGCTTGGCCAAGGCGCTGCCTGGCTGCCTCAATTGCAGCGCACCAACCAATTATGTAAGTAGATCCTCTGGTGTGCATAATAGATACCCTCACATTCACATCGACATCGCCACCAACTCAGACACCGACACCAACTCAGACACCGGCGTCGTCTTGTTTAAATTGCACACAATGTCGGCATCTTTGGGCAGCCAGGCAGTCAGGATGAGGAAGTTGCATGTGTAGGGAGTGGGGCTATAACAATTTCCTTTACTTACTTGCTGGCAGTATGTGGACCAGACATGGTGCCGTTTGCCTGCCAACCGTATTGCTGGCCCAGCAAGCGAGCGTTATTAACTCGGAGTCGGTTTGCGGCAGATACGTCACTGTGCTGGCCAGTCCGTTCGATTGTATCCTGGAGTTCAGCACCTGCAAGCACAAGAATATCAGCAGCACAAGGATTACGAATCGTTCTGCAAACGTAGGCAAAATCATTGGAGCCTGGCAACAGTCAGAGTCGGTTGGTCGGGCAGTTGGGCAGTCGAACAGCCCGGCAGTTGGGTTAGCATAAATATTTTAAGGCAAATGGGTTTTTATTGCAATGCAAACAGTTGGATAAGTCGAAACGAGCCAAGTTGAGTTCAGTTCGGACCAGAAGGGACTAGTTGTGGCTCTGCCTGTGACTCACAGGATTTTCGTGCAGATTTTCAAATAACTTTTGCGGTAAATGAATTACTTTATTTATTGTGCACAGCTGTCCCAGTGCTTAGTGGACTCGCATATGCATGTCTTCTGCTCGATCTCCCCCTCTGTCTGCAGGCTTTGCAGTTCTGTCCCCCAACCTTGCACAGCTCGCCGGGCGACTATCCTCTGCTACTTCACTGCAAAATTTATACATTTTGATTAAATTTTAATTCAGTCACGTACAAAGTTGCAGCGTCTGATTCCCGTCAGGGTGCCTTTGTTGTGCGGGAGTCCCAGCTAGCTACCAAGTATTTAACACAAGTTTTGCTAATAGCTGGTCACATTCGAGCTGAAAGTTTTCAGCTTTCCAGCTCTCGAATCAATAATTTCAGCTAAGCTCGGCACAAACTGTGCGCCAAAGTTGAGGCACGTTTGCGGACGTAATCACAGTTCCAAGTCAAGAAAATAAAGATGACTTTGGCGTGCAATTGCGAAGTAGCCCGCCCAATACTTACCGGCGAAACATTTCGTGTATTGTTGTAGGTCCAACTAAATCGGACCGATTCTGGGGGATCGGCATCCACCTCGCATTTCACCTGTATCGAGTGCATGTTGATGGCTCCTATGGATGTCTGCTCAGTGCCCGGTTTACAACGCGGCGAGACTGAAAAGACGCAAAAACCAAATGAAAATCGCATTGAGGGTTGTCAAAGAGAAAGTCGTTAAGCCGCAGAACATTTCGTTTTTAAATTTTCCTTTCAGCTCACAAATATGAGAGCACCCAACCCAGCCCGATAGAGCAAACAGTCTGTACGCCTCTGGAGTTAAGCAACAAAAACGAAAATAAAAATAAAAAGAAAGAGCAAGCTAAATCCAAAAGGAAGTCGAGCCAGCTACATAGCCTTGAGCATAGTAATTAACATGTTTCCGTTTCATGAACGTGGGCCCTGCTGACGTTGTTGTTGTCCTGTTTATGCTTAAAAAAAAAGTGGGTAAAGCTGTGCTGCGCGCGCGCTTGTGTGTGTGAGTGGCAGGTATTGAAGAAGATGTTGTCGACTTTACTTTCACTTGACTGTAAAATGAGACCACATATACGGAAGTTGCACCCTAGCCCACGGGCCACGTCTGTCTGCCACACATATGTACATCAAATATATATATACATGCAGACGCATGTGTGCTGTGTGCGAGCGCGCCGAGCTGGCGTTGCTTGGCGCTGAAAGCCGACTTTAAATGTAAGTCACGCCAAGGCTGATAAGTATTTGAGGCTTTATTACTTGCCGCTGTTATCACAAGTTGCCTGCATATCAGCGCAATATGCTTGAAAGGACTTGTACACGTGTGTGTGTGTGTGTATGTGTACAGGTACTTGTTGCTTGTGTGTGAGTCGAGCCAAAATTTACCCACAACTCAATGCTCGAAACTTTCATAATTCGAAATAAAAACTACTTTAACTGTCGTATCCATAAACAGCGCATTTCCGACTTTCGAGCACTGAAAAATGAATCAGTTTCCTTTGTAAATTTCCGTCATGTAAGAGGATTGCGGATGTCAGAGAGCTATAAGTATGTGCATACATGGACTTTTCGACTTGAATGTCGTTACGCAATAATCAGGACAGCAGTCCAGAAGTTTTCAATACGACAGAAAACAAACAGGGAAAAGTTCTCCTAGAGGTGAGGACTTAGCTATACTCTTTTTAGCTTATAGAAATCTGCTCTTTATCTAAGAGGAATATAACACCTTACACTGCTGTAGTAGCAAAAACTAGAATATCCCTAACTATCATTTAAACATTTTCCATTAGACAAGGCCTGGCGTTTAAATTTACCCCCTCTGTCCTGTTATAACCGATATTTATGGCCGACTCTTGGCAAAACTAATAAATCATTTAATAAACAACAAAATTTAAGTCATCTTAAATAGGTCGCGGTATTTGGAAAAAATTTATTAATTCATTGAAACAATTAATTGGCATTGACGCTGAATGATGTGGCTTAAGACCGGATTTTTAACAAATTTTGTTACATTTTAAAACTCTAACAATGATAGAATAGAATCAAATATTTCGAATATATATAATATTGGTAAAAAAGAAAAAGTATTTGCAAATATAAACTTATTTCATCTCATTATACACTTTCTATACATGTGTTGTCTGCAGCTGACAGACGAATCAATTGACTTGAATTCTTACAATCCCTAAAAAGTGCTTTGAGGCATTGTATGCTTCGTAACTGGTCTATAGTGCTTTTTAAAAGTGTATTAAAAGTATAAACTGCTTTGAGCTGATGAAAGCGAAAGGTGAGCGCAATGAATTCAATTTACGATGGGTGCCAGCTCGGACAAGCTCCACTTGAGCCACTCTTAGGGTTCACTTGGGGTACACGAAGGGCACAAAGATCGACTGATTTATACAGTTCAATCGGTTTTATATGCACTGCACATTAATCTCTTGATAAAAAGAAATTCTGGCGGCGGCTGCTCCCCAAAGGCAGTGCGTGAGGTTTATGAAAAAGTTGGCAGAGCAAAAATTGCGAGATCTAAATTTATAGCCAAAACTTTTGTGTGTAAATCAATGGTGGTTATTTAGACTGGTGCCAGCAACAATTTTACAATTGTAAACAAGCACGCACGCACACACACACACACACACACACACAGTCACAGTCACAGTTGGGCTATGTATCATTTCTAAGCAATTTCCTCATCCGCTGCGCAAGTTGGCAAACTTAAATTTGTATATATTTTTTTGTTGCTATGGGCACGCAAGCTGCAGCAAGTTGATTTTATTTTGCAACTTCCGTTTCCGTTTCGCCATGTTATTCCATCATATTGTTGCCAGTGTTGTGGCTTTTTGTACTATTACTAAAATACTTATTTCTATATTGAGCCCGCCTGCCGCAAAACTGCTTACTTACACTGCACTTTTAGGGTGAGGCTCGAGCTGCGGGTCTCCCCCTCTGTGTTGGTGGCCCCGCAGGCGTATGCACCTGCACTCTCCCGCTCCAGCTGCGTCAGGTGCAGGATTTCCGTGCTCTCTCCTGACATACGCATGCCCTGCAAAAAATATAATATATGCAAGGAATAAAACGTTATGAACATGTTTCGAGTGCATCTGCAAATTGAGAACAGCTCTGGCAAGAGCTTGATTAAAGTTTATGCAATCAAATGATTAACAGAAAGCACTTGTATGCAAGGCTTTCAGTTTCAGACTCTCAACGAAGCACCTCCAATTTCGGAATTGAAAATGAACCAGCTTAACTCAGGTTTTAGAAATTATGGTAGCATCAGTTGTATGTTTAAGCATTAGCTGAGAAACAACAAACACGCAGTACACATGTGCGGTAGAATATATTTGATATGAATTATTAAGAGCATGAAAGGTATGAAATTACCAACAATATTTACTAGGATTAAACAAAAAATTGGATTACACGTTGCCTAGTTTTCGTTACTTATACAAAGAATCTTTCATAAGAATTTAAATTGTGCTATATTTATCTCTCATATAATTTGTATAATACCTTAAATTATAGAATGTGTTCTAATTAATTTAGATTAACCATTTCTGCGATGCCCTTAAAATCAAATTTGTTTTTTGTCTTTTTATAACAAAGCAAGCAAAATAGCTCTTATCTGGTCGGAAGTGACCGACTAGGAGATACCCTGAGCGCTGCGTCGGTCGTGATTATCTTTGGTGTTTATTGTCTCATCTCTACAACATTTTCAAAGCATTTATATGACACGGACCAAAAAATAAACCTTGATAAATAAGTTTTATTTCCAAACAAAATTTGAGCGTTTATTGGACCGTCGTCCTGCAGTCAGTCATAGTTGGAACAGGCCGGTTCAGAGCTGCCATAGAGTTGATTGTTTGACCATTATGTACTTGTACAAATAACTTTTTTCTGTTTAAAGTCATCTTGACCAACAATGGAATTTACTTGTTTCACTTTGCTCCATACACAGCTATACAATTTTGTTAACATCGCACAACTATATCATATAGCTTATAGCGTTCTAATTGGTCGTAAATGCGATTTTGTTTTGAAATCTTTTTTTCAACATATCTTCAATTACAAGCCTTACTATTTCCAGCTCTTTCCTGTTATGCCTCGCATGAGGACTGGCAATCCTGCATATTTAGCAGATTGCATAAATCACATCTATCGCATTTCAATAGCACTCTTAGCAGCCACAGATACCACATCGAGAGATAAATTCGCTTTTATGTCATTAACACACGCTGCGAATGTCGCTGTCTAAGTGCCCGCAAAGTGTTCCCAATTATATTATGGTTACGATTGGAAATCAAATTAAACGGTATTCGAGTGTCTCTATTGGCATTATTGAATGCTGTATATTGTTTTATATATTTTGCAGGCTGCGCAACATACAACATTTTAGTCACTTGCCAGCTCAATGAACGTCATTTCGATTGGTCTATGGGCCATTTTCAAATTAATTTTCCATAATTTTTCGGCATCAAATGCATGGGTTGAATTTTATGCATGTGTTAAAACTTTAAATAAAAAAATTAACACTGAAATTATTATTGCAGCAGCTTTAAATTGGAAATTGCTTTATATACCCTGTAAACATTAAAAGCGGGTTTGATAACTGCTTGTAAGGGATTTGCAATATTTTTAATACATAACAATTGTAGTTCAGGTTTGAGCCTGCTTCTCAGACAGTCTAACTATCATTTATTTTTATAAGCATGTCCTTTGACTGAAAGGTATCTTCTAGTTGAGACGAACTGACTTTTGCTTTATATGAAAAAGTTAAATGTTTGTAATATGTTAATTTGCAAAATGTATTGCAAACAATTCAGTTAACTCTGCTGATAGATAAAGCTAATTGCAGTTGCATTATGTAATGCGTTTTAAATGCATTTAACGCGAAATTCAACAGCCAGCCAGTCGACTTCATAACCATATTAAGGAAGTTTATGTTATTTCTGGTTTCTGGAAATTTAAACCAGAGCTGGTTGAATACAAATGTTTCTAGGTTATCTAGACGGGAAAAGCAAACTGCTGATTAAGGAATCTAGAAAGAACTGACAACCGAAGAAGTGACAAAGTTTGCTTACTTTTTGCTGCTCCTTATAACTTTTTATCTGCGCACATTTGCCGCATCGTTTTTCATAATTTTTGCCGATTTTTGCTTTTCGCTTACAAATGGCAAGCGGCAGAAGGCAAATCCGAAGGACCAAAGACGAAATGCCTTAAATATTAAAAAGTTTTTTTGCCACAAAGGTCTGGGATAATTTGTTATATGCCAAGCTAAGACACGCACTTGGCAGACACAAGGCAAATATAATAATGTGAGTGAAAAAATATGATTTTATGCCACAGTGTGTGTGTTTGCTTGGGCAATGAAAAATGATGATGTGCCCATGTGAACGAAACTGTCAAAGGTTGTCAAAACCTTGCCCGTTTAGTAATAACAACAACACAATACCCTGAAGCCGAACAATGCCGGTCAAGCTTTGTGGCTTTTATGGGAATGTGAATGGAAGCTATGGGTAGATGTTGGCTTTCTGGTCAGTCTCTGGATTATTTGTCGCATGATTAATGCTTAAATAATTTTCAATACAAGGCGACTTCAATCAAAGCCATCATGAGTAATTATGCATGGCAACCAAAGCTGGGCGTAGCTAATGGCGGCCACTTGGTAACCGAATAGGCCACATATTTTGCGCCTGGCGTCTTGAATGTGGAGTTGCCCGCAGCTTTGGAAATTCTGGCTGCTGCAAACAATTTCGGTAAATTAAATTAAACCGCAAAGTGTCTGCTTAAGTTGCCGCAGGAATTTCGACAGCCGGAGCGACACACAGAGAGAGAGAGAGAGAGAGAGAAAGAGATAGACGGGAAGCGAGTGAAGCAATTGATAATAAAAATTGCCAAAGTGTCTGCCGCTTGATAGGCGTCAGCGGTTGTTCCTTGGTCCAGGTTAGTTTCAATTTAATGGAAAGAGGGAGAGGGAGTTGGACAAATTGATGAAAATCTGTGGCGCACTTACGTTCTTGAACCAGGAGTAACTGGTGACAGGTGGCCTCGCGTCTGCACGGCATTTGAACGTGACATTTTGGCCCTCGGCACGTGTTACCATACGGCTGGGATCCTCGTTGGCCAAGTGAACCGACACGGTGGGCGGATCTGTGTGGGAACAAAAGAGAAAAGTTAGGAAAAAACCCAAAAGCAGTGGATAAGTAAGTGCGGGCGTCAAATCTAATGAGCGCTGCAAATAGCCAGATAAAAGTCCAAATAATAAACGCAAATTGCTCATAAGGTGAGGCGCCTGCTCGGGCCCAGCCAGCGTTGCGTAATGTAGTTAACTCAAGCTGACGCTGCTGCTCCTGGTCAGCTGTTGTCCACGCACAGAGCACAGCCTCGGGGTAGCTGGCCAGCCGGCCGACCGCTTGAATGCACATCCTTTACGCAGCACTGTGGCACTGTGGCACTGTGCTACTCGGCTGCCTGGCCATAAGCCAAATGGGACTATTAGTTACGGTTGTAAAAATCTAATACGCGACCGAGACTGGCGCCAGGGCGAGCGGCTCTCGTGGGCTCTCGTGCCCGGCCGCCATCTTGTATGCGCGGGTGGAAAAAACTATGGCGTCTGGATACAAGACGGCAAAAATTGCTGACGTTTATGGTGAATTATTAAAAATGCGGCAGAAAATAAAATTGAAATGAAGTCCGCTGTCGCAGTAAGAGGTTGCTGGGGTCGCGTTGAGTGCAGGTAATTTAATTTGCTTTTGTTGCTGCTTTTGCTTTTGGCTGCGCTCATTGTGGCAGGAGTAATGTAAAACGGAAGCCGGAAGCGGATGTTGCAAATATTACGGTGGCTAGGCGAAAAATGAGCACCGGAAACATAACAGTGAAAATTTAATCAAGCCAAGTCGAAGGCAACCCAGAGGCCAACAACACCACAGGCAATGGCAACAGCCCAGACGATGACGATAAATATCATCATGAAGTTGACTGCATTTCATAAGCAGCTTAACGTGCAGCAGGCAGCAACAGGTGGATGTGGCCATGGGGTCAGATTGGATTGAAGAAGGAGTAGCAGCAACTGGAGCGAGTTGGCCTACAGGCTTGCAGGGTGGGAGTCCTAATCAAATTATATTGCTCTGGCCCTAATACGCTTCTAATTGGACCTGCCGCGGCGGAAAGTGCTCCTAGCTACGAACGCCCACGCACCCACGCCTGCTCACACAAAGCTGGAGCTGTGAAAAGGATAGATATATGACGAGTGTGTGCGTCGCATTGTTGACATAATTGAAAGTATGACCAGAGTTCATACAACAGAGCAGACCATGTGATTCAATATGTTTATACATCAATCTGTACTTACATGCCACACGTATTATGCGCTTGTCCTCGATGGCGCCGCCGGAGAACCATGGATTCGTAGCCCGACATGCCAGCTCGGCATTGTCGTTCTCGGATGTTACCTTTAGCGTCAGTATGCTGGTCGTAATGTTGGCATCCTGCAATATGTGAAACGGAATTATAATTCGATATTTTTCAGATATGATGAAGGTAACAAAGATTCATTTGCAAAGCTTAGTACCCCCCTCGCTGTTGGGTATCGTATCAAGCTCAAGCGACAAGCTCGAAGGGCTTTCCTGCACGAGCTTGGAAATAATGAGACGCATCTTTGGCTTCTCGTGTCGAGGAGCGTGTTGTGTTACGCCAGCAACCAAGCTTGCTCATGGCAGGCCATCAACGTTTTGGCAACAATCGATCTGAGCACAAAGCCATGAGTGTAGCAAGCAGATGCCGAAAAACCCAAACCCAAACCATCCATATTGATGCCTGCTATCGTAAGAATCGGTTATGCACGAGTTGTCTAATGTCAGTCGACGTTTGGCATTGGGCAAGCCCCAAACGCTCACGTTTTCCAGCATCAGCATCAGTTCCAGCTAAAGCTACAGCTCTTGCTCTGGCTCTGGATCTGGCTCCTGTCTCTATTCACTAACATGGCATAATTAGAAAGCGAAAAAGGCAACGACAACAGCAGCAAAAAAACACATTCATTTATTGCATGCCAAAGATGAAATACCCTTTCAAAAAGTATTGCCTTCTTTATAAATATGTGAAATTGGTCAAATAAAATAAGAAAAGAAAATTTGTTTATAAAGGAACTTTCGTGAAAGAGAGACGCCTCGGCCGACCAATATTATTCAGAATATTCACGCATGTTTTTCTTTAGTTACACAGTTCGTGACAAAACTAAAATATCCTCTGGCAAGGTATGAAAAAGGATAACTAATGGATGCCGAAAACCGAGCTGTCCTTACACAGTGCGGTCGCATGTCTTACAAACAGACCCCGCCCCAAAGTCTGGATCTGTCTCGCAGGCAAATGAAGTCGTGTTGCATGTGAACTGGAGCTGATTAATTTAAGCTGGATGCACAAAAATTGCGTTCGGCCCTTAACAAACTGACCGGCTCGGCCCGGCCCGTCTGCATAAATTCAAATAAAAATTCGCACATTAGTCGAGGCAAAGTCCGTCTTGCTCCTTGGACCAATCGTCGAGTGCAAATTTGTATAGTTCGCTCGAAAGTTTTCGGCAGTGCACTTAATCAAAGAAGCAGAAGGAGTGACCGAAAGGGGGGGGGGGGGGGTCTGTGGCTGCCAGCCAGGCGGACGGGCCACTTGAAGTCAACTTGTCTGCAGCTTTTGGCTCTGCGGCTGCTGCAAAACTTTGCCTGGCTCACGTTGCCTTTTAGGGTCACCCAGTGGTCGACATTGTTGTTGTAGAAGTTGCACTTCAGAGGTTATTAAGCGGCGTACAGTTGCTCAAAGTTATATGTGAGTATGTGTGTTTGAGTGCCTGTGTGTGTGTGCCTGTCTATGTGTGTAGCTATCAAATGTCAAACGTAAAAAGCAAATTTGCCAGCAAAAAGTTACGCTGCCTCTGGGAGGATGCATGTACAACAGCAAATTGCTTGTTTACTTTTTTTTATTGTTCTGGTTAAACTTCGTTTGACAATTTGTGAGCTATTTAAATTGAAAGAGTCGGCACTTACCTCCTTGTCACTGTGCACGGTAACCTCGGCGTTGCGTATAGGCTCGCCATCGAGCAGCCAGGCAATCTTTGCCGCCGGATACGAGCCCCACGATTCGCAGCGTATGGCGATCGGATGTCCAGCAGTGAGCAGATCGTTGGGCGTTATGATCTTTACACGCACAGGTTTCACTGTGAATACAGTTACAGTTAGGCGGCAGCATTTAAGAAAGGCATTTCGACTTACAGTGCACCTGTACGGTAACATCTTTGATGACAGGCTCCAGCAGGCGGGTACCCTGCGCCCGGCACTCAATGCGGGCTCCATAGTAGTCCCTGGTTGTGGTGCCAATGAGCAGCTGATTCACCATCACTGTGGCGCCCTCCTCGACCGAGGTGTGGCTGGTGCCGATTAGCTCGTTGCCATCACGCCACCAGGTGACCTTCGGTGGTGGTCGACCTGCAGAACGGAACGACATAGTGTTATTGGTAGCTGCTCTCAATTGTATTCCAAGTTCCTGTCAACTGCTGCCATATGCAGGAGGCTCCTGCCGGGGACTAGCCACAATATGGCAGACAACGACAGCGATGCTTGGCCACATGAGATGGTTATAAAGTGCTGCAGTGACCGCAGCATGTCAGCTGCAGGGATCAGGGATTGTAAGGACTTCTCAGTGCCAAGTGCAATGTGTGTTCCGGATGAACAATTATCCAATCATTGAAGAGTATTTATTTGCAAAAGTATACTCTACAAACCGAATAGAAATCTTAGAAAATACCCGAAAACAAGAGAAGTTCTCATTTTAAACATGTTCTTAAATAAATTCATAACTGGTAAAATCTTATTCCAATCGAAAAAGTTATCCTTATAAATTCCTTAACAGTTACAAATGATCAAATGCAAAAATTATTTTAAACTTACCACCTCTCACTTGGCAGCAGAGGAAAAGCTCGTAGCCCTCACGAAATGGCCCTGCCAATTGGGAGATTTCCTTGCCCTGTGCATCAAAGATGCGCGGCTCCTCGGGCGGCACTGCATAAGAGAGAGATTATGGAGCTTATTGCCGCGTTCTAGGCTGATTGGCAAATTGAACTTACCAACTAACGTTAGATTATGCCTAAAGTTGCGGGTGGGCGAGTTGAAGAAGTCGATGCGGCAGCGATAGACGCCGCCGTCCTCGGGCTTAACATCCTTAATCTGCAGGCGCGAATCCTTGGGATTATCCCCAATGCTAAAGAACAGACGCTGACCCAGATCGCTAGCTATGGCCGCATGTGGCGCCAGCTTTACATTGCCGCCACGCGAGTCCAGACTGCAAGGCAAATCGTTAAGTGTGAATTTAGTGTGTGGGCGTGGCTAGCAGCACATAGCGCTTATTATACATCATAAATAAACATATGCAAGCATCTCTTGGCCATTAGTTTGCCCTGGCGCCCAGGTTGTCCTACTGCTACCATAATTTACGGCCATAAAAAATGACGCTCAATTTGCACGAGTATGTATGTGTGTGCTAGTGTGTGTGTGTGTGTTGCTTTGTTCTTGCTTTTTGTGGATTCGTTACTGTTGCTTCGCTTCTGCGTGCCACGTCGCGACTTTGGCAGCTTTGGCAGCTTTGCGCAAATTGCAGCAATTTGTTGCTGTTTTAGCAAATTACTCTGTTTATTTCATGTACAACACCCGGCACTCTGGAGTTGGATTGCTAACACTGCCACTGCCACTGCTCAGTTGTTGCAGTTGTTTATGATTATCGACTGGTGGCCAGTTCACCTGTGTGTCTGATAGTTGCTGCTGCTCTGGCACGCAAGCCTCGCGGCGGTACCACTTGAAATGCGCGCGGCACATTGAAAATTTATCAACTGAAATTTATAAAAGCAAAAATGCTCTTTGCCAGTGAGAGGTGGTAATGGAGTGGTCCGGAGGGTGGTAGGGTGTTAGGGGAAGCGTGTCTGATGCGTATGTGCGTGAAAATTTGCTACACTTTAGCGATGGCAACTGTAATCGGATGTGCTTTACATTTATTATAACAAAGTGGATTATGACGGCGTGGACGGGCGCATCCTTACCACACACACAAGCACACACGTGCGTGTACACATAACACTTCTTCCGGGGTCCTGCGCAAAAATGCCGTCACACAAAAAGCACCGATGCCGGAATTCAGGCAAAACGCACAAAAAAAAAACCAAACAAAAAAAATAGCAGAATGGAGCAAAAAAAATGTGAAAAATTCGCCAAGTGTGACGGCAGCAAAGGATGTTGACGATTACTTCACGTTTTTGATGGATGGCTGTCGCTTGCCGGATGTGTAAGTGAGTGTGTGTGTGTGTGTGTGTGTGTGTGTGTGTAACACTTGGGCAGCATTTCCGCTTGTTGGCAACGTCTACTGGCAGTTGGCTTAGACGGTTTTTTCAACTAAATAGTTTGGCCAGGCTTTCAAATTGATTTGCCATGTTCCGGCAACTGCAGCAGCAGTAGCACTTACCTGTACAGCGGTATGCCGGTGGTGTCCTTGAACCAAAGCAGCAATTTTACCGAGTCCTGCGGCGTGGGCGGCGTCAAATCGCATGGCAGATCCACGGTCTTGCCGGCAGCGGCCCAAACCAAACGTGCAGGTACTGCAAAAAGGCAAAAGAAAAGTTGTGTTTTTTTTTTTATTAGCAAAGCATGAAAACTGACGCCCCGGCGGCAGCAGGTAGCATGGGGAAAAGCGGAAGGGGCAACAGGGAAAGCTTCCAATTGAAGTTCTTAGGTAGGAAGCTGGCGCTTGCGCTGGCGTTGATAAAAATATATTTATTTCTTATTTGCACATCCTGCATGATTCGGCTGATTGTTTGTTATTTTAACACAATGCTTCCGCTTGCCATTCGCGGAACGGGCAGAACAATACCCACAGCCAGCCCGCCGGGAGAGGTGCCTGGCAACCCGCACGCCCCCACGCCCGCCCACCCCCTGCTTATTGTCTGTTCGACTCTTCCGTTTGCCGGTTGTCGACATTATGGTTGTCCTTGCTGCTGTCGTTTGTTCAAGTTTGTTATTTTCTCTCAAAAAAAAGATAAATAATAATAAAAAAAAAGAAATAAAACAAACAAAATGTATATAAAGACAATATATTTTGCTTCATGCTAGGCTGCTTCACCTCGAATTATGGGTTCGTGTTGTGTGTTATTTCAATCGACAGGGCAGCCCGTAAGATTTTAACATTGTTTTCGTTCGCATGGCTTCTTTAATATTACAAGTATTCTATCTGTTATTCTGAACGATATTTGGCAAGTGACCTACACAAGCTTCAGGTGCTGCCTACCTGTAATCGTCAATTAAATTATTAAAGCTAAAGTCGAAACGCAATTTTGCTTAGCAGAGCCCACAGAATCCACTCAACGCTGGATGGAGAGCTCCATTTTTAGAATTTTTAGAATTCACCAGAGCAGCAAAGCAAAAATGTTGGCAACAGCAGGCAACAGCAGCAGCAAAACTGCGACGCATTTATTTTGCAAACAAATTTTAAAGGACTTTTTTGTACGCTTTTTCTAGGTTTTCTCTTTTTGTAGTCCTGCCACTTTGATGTTCAAATGTTTTTGCCAGCTTGCCAGCCGAAAGTGAAGTGCTAATTTTATCGTTGGTCCATGCCTCCAATATCCCCGCCCGGCTACTTCTGCCAACCAGCACAAGCAAAGGATTAGCGAAGCACAAGCCGCAGCTCCATGCATAAATTTATGCAGTCTCGTAGTACGTACGTATTAGGAAATTATTGAAATAAGCTCCGCGTGCCCGCACCGCGCGCAGCTGGCCAAGGAGAGCCGCAGATCCGCAAAGCCGCAAGCCATTTGTTATTTTGCATTGCATACTTTCCGGCGCGCATTCGATGACAGCTTGAGCAAAATGGCAAACATGGCGGCAGCGCAGCTTCCGCTGCGGCATCGCCAATTTGTCAACGCTTTGGCTTGCGGCAAGCTGAGCAAATGTGCGCTGCAAAGCAAAAGGCAACACCTAGTCGTAAATCCTAATAAATGGCTTGGGCCATGCAAGCCCAGCACAGCCCGGGGGGTGCAGGAGTTAGTTTATATTTGCTTAGCTGTTGCGGTGTTGCCTGTTGCAGGCACAGCGTCTAATTAGACGCTCTGTGGTGCAACAGCTTTGAAGTTGTCCAGCAGCAGCAGCAGCAGCAGCATTAGCAGCACGTGCGCCTCTTCAGTTGCCGCAGGAATTCTATTTATAAGTGCCCTGTGGCATGTGACCAGTTGCTGGCGGCAATCGTCTGGCCGTTTTTAATGATTTATGAATTCGTTTAATTCCTTTATTGGCAGCCCAGGGGAAGACGACTTTGATGTCTGTTCCGCATCCAAAATAGTTGCCACCAGTTGGTTGCTCTCTTGAGTTTTGAGTTTTACCTGCGCCCCCCGCTTCATTCCCAGCTCCCATTGCCCATCTCTCAGATCACAGTTCCCATTGCTCAGTTCGTTTTGATGTTTTGTTTTGACACATCGCATTATTTGCGCCTATTTTTAGCCTCATGTAAATTACTTAACACAAAACTGACGGCGAGCAGAGCGAGGGTGCGAGCAAACGTTTTCCCAATTGGAATTTTTACTGCTTGTCAAAGATATTCGGAGGTTCATTATTTAGGCATCGGCGCATTTGACAGGCTCTCAACATGGATCAATTAATATCCATCGTATGTGTTGAGTGTGCTAAGAGTTTATGGCTGTTTTCTCATTCTAATTAAGTCAATATCACAGGAAATGTTTAATGGGGTCTTGTGATTAGTTCCGAAATAAAGGAAGAATTGTTCGGGCAAGCTATAAATAAATTACCTTAATACTCAGCTTTTCATAAAACATATTTGACATTAAGGGACTAAAAATAAGTATATATTGTTGCTTGAAATTTCGTTTTCATTTTCTATCAATAATTTGGAGAGATTTTCTGTACGGGGCTTCGGAAAATAAAATGTTTAACTCTGCTTAATTTATTACGCCTGAATTATGCCTACTTCTTAAAGACTCTGTTATTTTATGCATAAACAGTATCTATATTATTTAAAAATAATATTTATACAGCTTCAACAGAGTTCTAAGAAACTACAAAAGAATCGTGTGAGCATGAGTACACACCCTCGATGATTGACAGATATGTCACTTAAGTGTCATTTTCATCATGGTTTTATTCTATATTTTAAGCATTGAATTAAATGTAAAACATAATCACATTATATAAAACTATTTGCTCTGACTGACAGACTGATTGGTGATCATCGCACAGGACGAACCGTAGAAGCTATAAAGCTGAAATTTAGTATGTAGTTTTGTAGATGCGGTGAGGTGTGGCGGCCATTAGAGGGTCTTTGTATAATTTTGATGGTTGATGATGATTTAACTTTAAATATAACACATAATATCTCTCCCTAAATGTATCCCCTAAAGCCCGTATATTTCTGAGGGCTATTTAATGAAGTAAGCTGCTCGCTTATCCTTACTTTCTAACGTTCTAACTTATGCTGGCAATCGTTGAAGTCTCGATGTCTTAAAGTCCAAAATTTAACATGGCCTGGGCACATATTACGCATACGCAGCGTGGGGCTTTGCATGCATAAAACAACAGTCGTAAAAGGGCGTAGCAAACATCCCTGGCACCACGTTGAGGGACCCAAGACATTACATTAATTATGCAAACAACAGGCGCTAGAACAGAAAATCACTTTCTTGTTGTATTTGAACACTTTAAAATCATTATATTTGGTTTGAGAAATAATTTTGTGTTTAAACTAAAAAACATGAGTTAATTAAATTGATTTAATATTTATTTCACTGTTTGCGCAAGAGTTTAATGAACTTTTGAGAAAATTTGAAAGCAAAAAGGGAATAATAGAAAATCAACAGAACGTGTCGCTAAACAAACCAGATATCCACGGCAACGTGCCAAATGTAGCACGCAATGTAAACAACAATAATAGCAGCAAAAACAACAACAACAACAACTAATATAAATACATGGGAAACAGCGAGAGCAAAACAACAAAAACTTGGCATCATTTCAATAGGCGTCGCATTTTTGTGTCTTGTTTTAGTTTTTCAATATATTCAAAATGTTTTATTGCACAGCACAGCTCTCAATTGATTTGTTTTTTTATTTTATGCGAAAGTTTGGCCTGTGGTTTTGATGGGCCGTTAGAGCTAACGCCCCATATTGGGTGCGCTGCGGTTCTTGTTTGTTGTGGTTGCGGTTTTGTCTTTTATGAATATCGGCTTGTTGCATATTGAAGAATTCAGCGAACAACTACCTGTGGTATACCGATAATTAAATACCCTTAATTAATATAATTAGGTAATAAATAGTTTAAAATTAACCATACGGGACGTGCTTCCTTTGACGACATTCTAAAATATAGTGCGCAAGTCAAGTGAGTAAAAAATCAAAATTTGTATTTAAATTTAAAATATTACTTTTGCAACAATTTCATTTAATTTAAGTTTTATCGACGGTGGAAGAGTTTGTACGATGACTTTGCAAAAGGCCAATTATGTTGGGCTAACTAGGTCTTCACATATTTAATTTCCAATAGATAGCAACCTACACTAAATATAATAAATGTAGTTTTGGTGCTTCATTTTTAACTTTCTTCAATAGGAAATACTACGGGAAAACTAAATGAATACGTAATGGTATAGCCTGTGCCAAATGCGCTGTTCATTCGGTGAGAAAACCAGAAAATCCTGACTATGGGGATATGATTAATATGATTATGTGAGTGTATTTTGCGGCTTTTGGTAGGGTTGAAGTTTGATTGAAACATTTGCAAATGCACATGAAAGTCAATTACAACATTACAACTATAAAAGAAAGTTAATTAAATAAAATTAGCACTACTTATCCTACTGACTGTTGACTAATGGCGTAAAGGGGTCTGTGTGTTGTATGGTTGTGTGTTTTTGCGAGTTTGCTGCTAATGAAAAGTTTACTTAGAACGCCAGCAACTTTGAACGAAATTAGAGGCAATTGCCAAGATAAATATTTGAGTTTCACTATTCACAGCTGCCTCGTCTGCCATATGCTCAGTTTCTGTTTCTGCTTCTGTTGCTGCTACTGCTAGCTTTTAAATATTTTATTCAGCTGCCTTTGTCCTGTAACATTTTTTGCCACGCTGCGCCACATTGGGGCAAATTGTTTACATTTAAATTGTACATTATGGCAAACACACATTGCACAAGACACACACACACCAGCACACACACACTAGCACACACCCGGCTCGGCACGGCCACAAAATGTTGCAAGTGGAAAGCGAAAGTGGTTGCCAATGGCACGACAAGTAAATGTAGCAGTAGCAGCATCCATGTTATGCCACGCCCCGCCCCGCCCCATGACCCGCCCTGCTCGACTGTGGTCCAAGTCGTCACTGACCCTAATGTACTTTCTCACACTTCTCGCATGCATTACGGACTACCGAACAGGGCAGCCTTGTTCCTACATAGCAAGAGTGCACGCGCGTATGTGTGTGTAAAAAACTTTTAAAGTGCTTATTCACACTCGCACACACACGTACAGTGCCTGTTAATAAGCATGTATATGAGTATTTACTTATAATTAGAAATGCCGGCATGTTTTTGCCTCCCAACTG